AAATTCATTGTTCATGCACGTACAAATATTTTCTACCATTATTCTACTTTACTGATTTAAGGGTAAAACCAACTGTTGTTATTTTAATAAATGACATACCATAATACGCCAGTTGCTTTTCATTTTTCGTGTTTTTTTTTCCATAACATGCATGATCTATCTGCAACATATGTTGCTGTGTTTTGCCAATTCATATGCAAATATCTCAGTGGTTTTTCTGTATGATTGCTATACTGAAACCGTTATGCTATTGTTTGCTTTGCATAACACACACTAATAGCAATCCTGACTATGATTCATTTCCATCATAGTGGCTTATAGAAACTGTTTTCAGGCTCACAAATAAAAATATTTAATTATATCATTTATATTTTAATTCCTCGTGATTCTTGAAAATAACTAAAAAAGAACATTAAATGTGATGAATATAGCACAAAAAAATAATCAATTTTGAAATATTCCTATAAAATTAAAAAACTTTAAATGTATATGTACTTGAGTACTCTGATAAATGAAAAAAAAAAAGAGAAATTTTGGAGATAAAAATTCAATATTTCAGACTGATACTGTTGTTGTGTAAAATCTTTTCTGAACAATATCTCCAAAATTGAACAATAATATTGCATTTCACTAAAGATAAAAAAATAAACAGTTCAAATGCCCCCTCTTATTCAGAATTTAATATTTTCAGTGTTGTAGATATTGTGGATAAACCCTTGACCTAGTATTTTCTGCCTTTGTTTTCCCACTAACATATGCCGGCTTTCTCATAATTTATTACTTAACAAGTAATATATAAACATATTGCCTAAAATCTAAGTTTAACTTTATAATATTAATTGATTTCTCTGTACGTTCTGCCACAGACTGCACGAGTATATACAATAAACCTGAGCGTATATGTTGGCGTTTAATTGTTCGTGACACATAAATGTACATGTTGCTTGCCTCCACCATTGGATTATATGTGAACCTATGACTGAATTGAACAACACATTAAACACATAGTTATACACTTTGATTAGAATTAATCTACGAGCATTAAATTTAAATTATTATCTTGTTTATTAATCCTGGTTTCAGAGAATTTTTCATCTTATCATTCGGTCGATTTCTTTTTTGTTCTAAAAGTTAATTGTTGCAAGACTGCTATTGTTTATTTTTTTCTTGTGATTTTAAATTAAATCTACTATGACTCACGTATGTTTTATCCAGTATGTTGTTTTGTTACCACAAGAACTTAGTTTGTTACAATAACATTATCTTTCAAAATGAAAACTCAATGTAAAATATTCATCATGTGATGTTTGTATGGTGAGATTTGTTTTATCTCAAATTAGCAAATCATTATTGCTCCAGCAGCGTCTATTAAAACTCTTGTCCATTCCCTGTCCCTGTTGCAGTTGTAGTCATGGATGAAAAATTATAAATAATACCATATATATATGTATGTTACATGATTATCTGATATTAGCATGTTATAACAAAACCTTTCCATCATGAATACCTTATATAGTACTGTGGAATACTTTATTTTCGCTGAAAAGGCTTTTTGGGCATTTTGTATGGAATTTATTTTCACTGATTTTTGATGAGTTTAATGTGAAATATTGGAAAAAAAGGATATTCACTGGATTTTATTTTCACTGAATCATCCCTTCAGCGAAAATAGCAAAAATAAATTCCAAGCGAAAATAAAGTATTCTACAGTATATGTGACTATGCATGGGTAATCTGATTGGCTTATACTGAATGTATCCAAACTAATTTGCATAAAAATGGCTTCTAGTGTTGTACATGCATCATATTATTGAACCACGAACTGTAAGTGAAATCACTATGATGGATGTTTTTTTTTAGTAGATGACAAGATATTACTCAACGCTTTTCTTATGAATAAAACACAGAACGAACACATCCTCAAGTAATCTATACTCTGTTGTCTCTTAGGCTAGAACTTTTGAATTTACAAGTTCGATAAGAAGTCATTAACATATCATTTAAATAACACTTACGATGCACGCATTGGCTGATCTTGTATAGAAATCTCAGGGAAGCCTTGGTTATATTATTAATCAGAGTTTGTACATGTGTCATGCATACAGATTTAAAAATGAATGACCTAGTGTATTAACCTAGAGTACCGTATTAAAATAAAGTATGTGGTCTGCATGGGGAAGACGTTCAAATAGTCTGCATCGTTGGGAATATATAATTTAAACAATGTTTTCAAGTACCTTTGACAAGCTCTGTATGTCAGAATGATGGATTGTAGGTGGAATACCTTCACAGTTTGTGTATTTTACCTTACAGTGCTGTAAATAAGTTTTATTTGGTTCCATGATTAAACACTTATTGTACTCATTTTATATTCATTTACAAAAAAAAAATTAAATTGCATGTTTTAATAAAAAAATCTGAGTAATGTACAAGCTGAAGTTGAATTCAATGTACATTTTGAAAAAAATGTATTGCAAAATTATTATTTAAAATGTAATTAATAGATTAATAATTTGAATCAGTTACTTTGTTTCCCTTGATGTGCTTAGTCAGTATAGATTGTAACAGGCTATATCAGTCTGCTGGTTACCCACTCTTCATAATAATCTGGACTTGCTTTTAACAATTTTAACTTTAATTTAATGCAACATCCAGACTGAAGACTGAATTGTGATGTCAGTGTAGATGGTGGCAATATATTGTGTTAACTGTGTCATGTACAGTAGAATAAATACAACTTAAATTTATAAACCAAACACTACATTGTTAAACAAACAGTACATACTGTAATCCCACCATTTTTGTGTAAATTTCACATTGCAGTAAACCAAACACAGCAATCATGTGCCTGTCAACCAACCACCATAAACACTGTAATTCTAGCTCTGTAAACCCAACACAGTAATTCCAGCTCTGTAAACCCAACACTGTAATTCCAGCTCTGTAAACCCAACACTGTAATTCTACATGTAGCTCAGTAAACCCAACACAGTAATTCTAGCTCTGTAAACCCAACATGTAATTCTAGCTCTGTAAACCCAACACTGTAATTCTAGCTCTGTAAACCCAACACTGTAATTCTAGCTCTGTAAACCCAACACTGTAATTCTAGCTCTGTAAACCCAACACTGTAATTCTAGCTCTGTAAACCCAACACAGTAATTCTAGTTTTATAAACCCAGCGCTGTATTGAAACCAGATGAATATTCTAGTTTCTTCTTCTTCATGGACTTCCATATATAAAAGCTTATATATACAAAACCTGTCAACTGAATGATTTCCACAGTCTTGAATAGTTCTCAGTCTGTATAATATTATCCATTATTCTCTTTTGATGCCAATCATATGGAAAGTATCATGTTTCTCATACCATGTAGCCAGGTCAGATAACAGTTCTCCACTGGATGTAAACATCAGGCAATTATATTGAGCATAAATACTTGTTTTTTATTCTCTTCAAAACTGTCTGATTCATTCAAACTAAACCTGCTAAAGAATGTTAATACCATCAATGCTTTGCAACATATGCAATTTAGGCTTTTTGTGTTCATTAAGAATATACTTTAATTTTGTTGTGTGTCTGGCAAAATGGTTTTATTTATTTTATTGTACTAAAAGTATGATGAAATTTTGTAAATGGTGCTTCAGTATTTGCCTGCCTCACTTGAACATGTAGCAGCTGTGGTGTTTTCTACTCTGTAGTATTGTCAACTGTGTTTAGCAGACCTAACTTTGTGTATGGAATACAACAATTACAGGCAGCAGACATTGTCTTTTGTTTTGTTTCTTGGTATAGAAAATGTTTCTAATGTTTAAAAAAAATGCTCTTGAGACACATGCTATTTATCAGAACAAATTAATTTATACCCTGTAAACTTTTTGCCAATATTAAATCGCAAGGGGCTGGCACATTTTCTGCGAGCTGATATATGCAGACATTCAAATTTAAGATCACAACACAATTATACTATGCACTTCTATATATTAATTGCTCATTTGTTGCGCCTATGTACTAATTTGCATATAATTTGCATATAGTTCGCATTCCAATTAAATACATAGAGTTTAGTAGATATTATAGCATGATGTACTCACAGTTAATTCTGAAAATAAAAAGTAAATAATTAGTATTATATAGTAAGAATCTGAGATCAGAATTACACAATAATTTTTTCTATAATTTCTAAATTTGATAATATATAAAAAATTTGGTAAATTTGAATTAATAATTTGAATGACAATATTTCGATATTGCTCCAGACTGTTCTTATATATGTGAAATATGAGTATAGCCATGAAATTTGTAATAGATATCAGTCTTCTGTGATCAAATATATATTCCTGATTTTAGCAAAACCTTGTTTCATTATTCCGTCTTCTAGCCAACAAATGTTGGAGCACTTTTTTTTTTTCAAGTAATTTTTGCCTTTTTTAGCAATAATTTTGATCAAAACAGACTTTAGTTTATTTTTCTATCAACATTTTATCTAAATCGTTAAAACTTGTTATTAGTGTTGTGAAAGGGAGCAGTAAGTTAACAAAATATTATTCTAAGATAAATAACGATAGCTGAAAAAGTATTAAATACGTTTTTATTTAGGTTATATCTGTATATTCATAAATCATAACATCATTCACGTAGAATAAACAGTTGTATTATCGTATTTCCCACGCTTCACCCATATTTAACAGTGCAAAAGATTTCAATAAACTTTGACCCTCGTCGCCGTGACTTTTTATAATTTCCTGGCGATTCTTGTTTGAAGAGACATTAATCAATAATGCATGAAGGAAATAAGTGTAGCAATAACTGGCGTGTAAACATCGGTAGTTGTCAGCCCAGCTATGAATTCGGCTGTGATGTGAACAGCTGATTTTGATTGTTAGTGAAATGCAACCAGCTAACGAGTATGTGGACTGTTATTTGTCATTTAAATCTATTGTGGATCAATTAAATATTGTTATATCATGCTTAAATTTACCGTTTGGATTTATTTCAGCCCAACACAAAGATGAGATCAAGAATACCATGGGCTTGAGTCTTACATCAACTGGTATTGGTAATCAGGTAAGGAGAATATAGATATTCCACGAATGATATCCAATGATATCCTATGTGGCTTCGCTGTGATGCTCTACAGCTACCATGTGCTATGGAATGGCATTAGTTTTTAAATGGTGTCACAAAGTGCCATTTTTTTTTTTCTACGCTTTGCCCATTTTTATGTTTTAATTTTTTTTAAGGTTCTTTGTAAATTTAGAATGCAATGATCATAATTTTTTCCCTTTAGATACAGGTCTTGATTATCATCTTTGAAAAAAAGTATGTTGAAATAAATATGCAGTTTTATTTTGTGAAAGTTGACGATAGCTACGTGAGCATTTCAAAAGGTTAATCTTTCTATATTTGAAAATGTTGTATGGCTTAGCAGCTAACATCCATTCCTGAAGGAGTCTGGCTTCACTACAAGATGCATCTTATAAGAGCTTGATAGATTGTTTCAACTAAAATGATACATAGTATACAGTTTCCAGATGATAAATAGATACCTGGACTAACTGTCTTGGGGGCGTGTTCCATCACAACACACATCAGCTAGACCGTCACTGCGTGTTCCATGCTTTCTTCAATACTTCTAGTAAGAATATGGGCCCCCTGCTGCTTACAGTAATCAGTTATTCAGTCATGGGATAGTCTCTTTCTCCCATCGCTTCTCAGTTTTGTCTATTTTTCTTAGGGGTTAAAAGGGAAATAGAGTTTAAAAGCTTACTATTCAATTTCATGTTCTTTAGGACATTTTGAATCATGCATGCTGTCTTCGTATGGTATAGTTTCTGCCAGACAGTTGTCTTCCTAGGATAGCAAAAAAAACAAAAAAAAAAAACATTTCTGTTTGTAAGGCTATATGACTTATATATGCACTGGGATATACCACTTTGAATGATTTATTTTCAACGGTGTTATCTCATTAATTCTTATTGTAACCCCTGTAGTCATTTTGCGGATATTATTAAAAATAAATAAATACAGTACTGAAGATGATTTTTACCCCCCCACACCCCACCCCCACCAACACACACCCCCTCCCCCCCGGGGAATCGGTAACTTCATTAACACTGCTAGATCATTGGGATTGACCATACTACTAAGGTATTTGCTGTTGTTGCTGACGTGTTAGACAGCTATGTACACACTTCCAGAGTAGTAAGATTGACATATGTACAAAAGTATGCTCTGTTACATGCTCATTCCCAATAGACACACATTCAAACACAAAACTGCATTTATTGTTTTAAAAGCAATATTTTGACCGTACACACATCTTTGTCATTTGTATAAGTGTGAGCTACTAATAGAAGAAATACGGTATTTGCCCTTCAGGTAATAGGGGAAAACAAATATGCACATGTGGGAAGCCAAGATACATGTAGTTTATACAGTTCACACATTCACATAATTTCCCTGTTTTAAATGTCATATTGCATATGTTATCCTGAATTGTTTCCGATTTGCAGATCAAATCTAAATTATACTCTTTAACACTTTGCTCGCTGAAAGCCTCTATAGATAGTCAATATGAATTGCGTATCACAGCGTCAGCAATCATCTGGTGATGTGTTAAATAAATATATGTCACTTTCATTATTATTTTTTTTTTTTTTAGAGATAAGAATTTTTCTTGACAAGAAATGTAAATAATTTCTCAACACCTCCAGGTCTTGGATCAAGTTTTTCAACGTCAAATTTATACATTGCCTCCAATTCTTGGTCAAAATTTCCTGTTGCCTCCAGGTCTTGGTCAACATTTCCCATTGCTTCCAGGTCTTTGCCAAAGTTTTCCATTGCCTCCCAATTGTGGTCAAAATTTGTGAAGGCGACATGAACGTTCAAAGCAATATTTGGGTTTTTTACATTTTAGAAAATTTTAATTTCAGCTTTATCACATTGTACTTGAGTTGATTGGTCATTATGCTGGGAACCATATACTTATTAATTACTATAAAAAAAATCATTAAATTCTATTTTTCAAAAGATTTTGAAATTTCAAATTAGATTATTTTTGATATTTTAAATGCCGAGCTTCAATTCCTACCTGTTGTGAGAGTCATACCCCTTAGCTGACTTTGAATTTATCACTCCTCATGTTGCCATGACATTAAAAAAGTACCCTTTAAGCTGGTAACAATTATTTTGAGTTGCCTGTCTGCTGATCAGGTCAATAATGTGTGAAAGAGTCTATCAAACATTTAAAGCCAATGCAAGATAAGGTATCATAGATTGAAATATACAGAGACCCACTGATCTTTTTCGTGCACTTAGGGAATATGCTGTTATAATAATATAATTGTGCCTTCGTGTTTATTATACACTAAAACTGCATTTAATTCAGGGTCTGTCAAATGTATTGACTTTGTCATGCTTTCATAGACCTTGTCCAATTAATTTTAAATTTGTGTTCAAATTTTGAACTTGCCATTGCCAAGCACTAAATTCAGTTTTAATAATGATTACATACGAATAAGTGGCTCTTAACTGTGCAATATTAAAACGTATCATCAGTATTCCCTACAGATTACATGAGAAAAAAAGAAAAAAATAGTCCAGTGGATGTGAAAATTTTGGACCCTTCTTTTTTAGTGTACTGTTCCGCTAATTATTATATAACTCATGCAGCTTCCATTCATTATCAGCTGGAATGTCCTTGGGTAACCTGTAGTTATTTTCCTACTGATCAGTATCAATTCAAATTGTAATCTAGGGGTCAGTATTGAAGAAAAAAAAAGGTGAATAAAATTATAGTCGCCAAGGCTATAATGACTATATTCAATACATGTATTATATAGGAAGATGAATCACGCGTGTTGTAGTTCTCAATTTTATTGAAGGTTTTACCGCCTACTATTATAGAAAATGGCATATATTAGCTAAACTCAGATTACTGAACTTTACAGTGGCACAAACTGTCTATACATCTCTGTATATGCCGAATAATTACCATGGACAGTCCCCAAACAATTTGAAACCTGACTGTCAAGTTCCATTTTGTAAATTCGTTATTGATTATTCCGTAGCGAATATAATACGCGATAAGAAGACTGGTTGTGTGATTATTGAATAACACCCGCTTCTCTAGCAAAAACACATTCATACATTATGCAGAAGATTTTGTTGTCAGTGACACCTTGGAGGCATCTTGAGCTGCCAGCGAGCGTTAGTCCTGTCCACATCATTTGCAAACAGATGACATTGTATTCTGTAATGTTATCAGCATAGTGGACAATGCTTCCGTCTTCCATAGAAGGATCAATGGTTGCTCCTTCCACCTGTGAGTATGGGGAAACATTTATGATCATCTTTTTTTAAAACTAGTTCGCCCATTTACATTGATGAGCTAGGTTTTTTAAAGCGGACTCTAGTCTTTCTGGCTGGGTGGCGTGTGCATATTTCATAATCATGCTCTTTCTGAAAAACACTTTTGATGCATGCGTTAATAACTGTAACCTTTGACCTATAATTTTACCCAGCCATGCTTAGCCCCATTGAAAGATTGTATTTTAGTTGACTGACATTACTGAAAGGGCCTCGGAACAAATTACATACCCTCTGGGAAAAAATTCAAACTGCATATATTCGGCAGACATGAAGGATGCTTCCCAGAGGGAGGAATATCAATCAGTATAATGAGCGCTCGTTGCACTGCATCCGGTCGTCTTACCTTAAGAGGAATCTTTTTTTTTTTTTTTTTTTTTTGCATCTTCTAGCTTTTGATTGAAGATTTGTTTTGGTATCGGTATAATAATAATAATTTGGTACAGCAGTACACTTTCCAAAATGAAGTGCAATATTTCATTTGATCTACCAGTGATAGATTATAATTCTGTAAGCCATAGGTTGTTTTATTTATCATCTGAAATACTTTTTCAGTTTGAAAAAATTAGCCTGAGTCGGCAATTACCGGTACCGGTATTATTAAAAAGGCAGTATTTGTATAATTCTGCTTAAATATGGTTTTCTCAGCATTATTTTCCTTACTCTGATTTTAAGATCATGCTTCTAATTGAGTGCATATTAAGAAATAACACAATTTTGTTTTTTGAATCTCAACAAAAATAAATATGTGCATTTAGTTTGGGTCGAATATTGATCCGTAGAATTAGTGGTTCACTATTTGAATTCGTAGCTTACCTTTTTTTTTTCCTTAGTTTTTGGACTAATTTATCACATATTTATGTATAAAGCTTCAATGTCCCGCGCAATTTGCATGCTGCTGAAATATTCAATTTATTTCAGCAGCCAAAAAGGCTGGACAAATCGGCAATCAAATTGGCCAACTACAGCCGACTGTATCGCTGCTAAGGAAGGTTGAAGCACATTCCAAATGGATCCTATAATTGAATTTTCTAGTGAGTAGCAATTATTTGCTAGATATCCATTTTTGTGAGGAAAAGAATGATTGTGATAATGTGTAAAAATGGTGATCTCTAGACTTCGGAATCATAGTTGCAATTTTCCTGCGGGAGCTGAGGAAAGTATTACGTGTAAGTGAGAATAATGAGTTGTCTTCTCAGTGGGGAGTATATTTGCTGTAAAATAAAATCTTCCCATGAATACTATAATAAAACTTGACGATGTTATGTTTCGATCAAGCCAAATCAACAAAACAACAAAATTTATGTGTTTTTTTTATTTCATGTTATGAGTGAAAACTGATCAGTTTGAATGAATAGTGTGGAACCAGAACAGTCACAATCCCAAAGGATACTATCTGATTTGTCACACTCTGTCAAGATAATTTGAATGTTAATTTTGATATATTACATGACTGTGTACTGCATTTCAGATCTGTGTGGTTTCTTTTTTCTGTAATTTTTCTTGTCCAAAAAAATGAAGCTAAATTGTGTTGGGTATGAAATAACACAATGACTACAAAGTAATGGACAGCATATCCTAATCCTAAACTCAAATCTTTCTATCTGAATTTTATCAACTCAGTATCAAACTGATCATATTGAAATCTAGATATAGTATTACCACTTGTTCAAAAAAAAGCATTGTTTTTAACTTTC